ATTGACCTCGCATCCCTACAAAGCCGGGACGGAGCACGCCGGGTTCTCACCGGACCAGGCTCTCACATCACCAATCGCGAAGCGCCGTGAGGTATTTGGCGAGTCGCATGAAGGGTGAGCTGCCATCCTGCTAAGGGTGTTCGGCATCTTGTGCTTACTTCCTTGCGTACGGATGACAGCTACGTATGACTTAATTTATTTTCTGGTGCTTTCACTTCCAGAGACAGTTGTAAGCACTGTGTAACTGCCTCGAGGAAGCTTGACCATTTTAACACAACGTGGTGCGATCATCCCCCGTTGCGCGGAGTGAGGTTTCTCCACCCCGCACAACATGATCTACTCGACCACCATTATGGTTACCGCCAAAAAAAAAAAACGAGGTAAAAAAAAAACGGTAACCTGGTTGCCGAGTTCACGAAGTGAATTGGCTTGTTTTACAACGTCGTTGCCAAGCGACGAAAACCCAATCCCGATGGCAAACACCGAGTGGGGGGCTTGTTTTACAACGTCGTTGCCAAGCGACGAAAACCCAAACCCCGATGGCAAACACCGGGGGGGGCGGCTTGTTTTACAACGTCGTTGCCAAGCGACGAAAACCCAAACCCGAGGGGGGGGACAAACACCGGGGGAGGGGGGGGGCGAAATCAACGCCCGACCTTCTACGTGCTCCGCCACCACCACATTACGTTGTACAAACACTCCCTTCGAAAACAACACCAGCATGGCCTGTCCCGAGGTTCGAGGATTCCTGGCAGTGCTCGCGCCAAACAGGCCCAACAACCGGCATCACTACCACGACCACCGACAACGACAACAGCCCTTCTTACCTTCAGAACTCCTTCCAGGAAACGCTCCAGCTTGACCTTCGCCGACAGCGCTCGCTCCAACCCTTGCTCCGCCTCCTCCCTGGCCGCCTTCTCGGCTCTGACGGATGCCTCAACACGGGCCACCTGGTGTCATGACGTCAACACGGCAGGTGACCATCAACCACGGACAACGCGGGAAGGATATAACCTTCCAAGTCACACTTCCCTCTTTCTCCTAACGCCACCCTGTTTCTCATTCACCCCCCCCTCCCCCCCCCCCTTCGTTCTTGTGTACTGGACATGAGTGGAAACACAAAAACGCCGGCAATGATACGAAAACCCTACACACGCTGATGTGGATAAGCGAATAGCACGGCGGTAGTCTCTACGTATCGTCCAGCACGAGAGATACTGTAGTCGAACCGACCCTTCCTAAACGGTGTCTGTCTTGTTTCTTGTGATATGGCCGGCCGGTGCCGCGAGATGCGAAAATTGTACAACAAGCCAAGCTCACCTTTTCCCGTAAGACGTCCGCCTGATCGGCCTGGTGTATACCCGCAGCCGTACCCGCGGAAGTCGTACCAAACCCATGGGAATCGAACGAGGTACAATGGGATGGATCGATTCGAGATCGACCGGGAAGGGCGTGGTGTAACGGCGGTGTAGTAGAGAGAGGGGAGGGCAACACATAACAGGGGCGGGGGGGTCAGAGACAGAATGTGTTTTGAGACAAGTTGAAAGGAGATAGGATCTGGAGAGAGAGAGAGAGAGAGAGAGAGAGAGAGAAGAGGAAGAGACAAGCCATGCAAACCACTCGATTGTCTTGCCCTATATGTAGCCTTCCATCTGCGTTCCCCTGCTGCACAACGCCTTCGGAGCATCTTACGAAACCCCTTGTGGAAGGTGGGGCGGTCTATGTGGTGGTTCTCGGTACACATCACAGTTCACGTATGCACTGCATGCATCAGCGTACACCTATTTGTGCGAGGGACGCCCCCCATGTATGCTGGATTCGACGGAGCAAGAAGGGCGAGACACGCGCCAACACGCAAGCACAACTTCCACGCCGACACACACCAGCACCACCCACCGACCAAGGATAGTGAGAGGGCCGCCGACAACAATCCTCTGCATGTAATAGCGAGAGAGCGACAACAACAACATTCGCCTCCTGCTTGCAACCAGTCCATCACGCGAGGAGAAGAATAAAAAAACAAAAAATCCTCGTCGGGTTCACTCTCGATTTTGACGGTTGCACTTTCGGTTTGGACGGTTTCACCTTGCTCCTCGCCGTTCTCGCAGCCGCCTCTGCCGCCTTAGCCTCCGCGGAGCTAGACTTTTCCTCCTCCTTCCCGAGGCTCAGCAGGCGGTCTTCCAGCGACCTCACGCGGGATTCAGCCGCCCGTCGTGCTTCCTGAATAGGTGCGTGTGTGTTTGTGTGTTCATTCGCATCGACCTCACTAACCGGCCGATCAAGGAAAATATGCAAGTCTCGGTGCGGTCAAAGACAGGAAACGCTTCTTTCGAAAAGCCATGGTCTAGGACCCCGTTAGGTCGGACTGTGCATGTGTGTATTTGTACGCGTTTGTGTTTCTGAAAATGCAAGTCCCTACGGTAGATGCTACACCTCTGCCGCTGCCGATTTATCCTTGGCTGACGCCGTTTCCCTGGCGAGCTGCCGCTTCTGCTCCTCCGCCTTGCGAATCCTGCGCAAAATCAAACAAAGAAAACAGAAGCAGGCAGGAAGAGGTAAACAAGAGAGAAGGCGGTGCGAGGCGTACGCCAAGGTTGAGTGTGGCTTCATCCCATCCCATCCCATCCCATCCCATCCCATCGAAAAACCCTTCCTTCTCTGCAACAAGCAGCGCAAACCAACAAAACCGTGCAGGCCCCCCAAGGCCACAGCAGAACAGCGCTTGGAAGTCTGCGGGGTGATCGCATCCGAGCGTGTGGGATCCAGCACAGCAGTAAGACGGGACAAGCCGCTCTCCACTCCACGGTGTTGGTTAACTTTGGCTCTCCGAGGGGGAGTCGCCAAGTGCTATTATTGTGCAAACCATTGACGCTAGCTGTAGGCTTTAGGCTCACCGCAAGTCCGAAGCAGCCTTGTCTGCCTGCAGTCTCTCGTAGGCCAACCGCGAGGCCAGGGACTTCTCTTGCAGTCCCGCCATCTGCACCTGCATTTCCCGTGATCGGCGGATTTTTCATTCGCGTGATCGGCGGAGCGCACGGGCGACCACAAGCAGTTTCCGAGGGCCACGACAAGGTGACAGAAAGAATAAGGACAGAAAATGGACAAAAACAAATGGGAATATATTGTTTTGCTGCCTAAATTAGGTCCTGTTGGCCGTCGATGCTTGAAAAGAAAAGCAGGCCGTTGTATCTATCTGTTTCGATGGCCTTCAGGTGAGCGTGGCAGCAGCTTAAGTGGGGTGTGGTGGTGGCATCACGGACATGGTTGCACTAGCGAGAAGGAAGCGGCGCCTGCTTTGGCTAGGTGCGTTGACCTGTGCGGTGCGGTCGTTCTCCGTCTGCAGTGCCGCGATCTGTCTCCTGAGCGTGCCCGCCTCTACCGCCGCGCGATCTCGCTCGCTCTCAAGCCTAACGGCGGCAAAAAACACGGTAGGAAAAAAACAAAACCAAAAAAAAACGACGTTATAATAAACCAAGGGCACAAGAACCGGCAGCCGCGATACGATGAATGAAGGCACAACTCAGTACTCAGCAGCAAACGAAATGGCCATAAAGAACAACACGCCAGCAACCGCTGCCGTCGCTGCGGCAGAAGCACACTCGACGACAGGCTGTACGATGGGCGCGACACCCGCGGGCGCAGAGAGCAACTTCGTGGAGATCCCCACGTCTGGCAGCATGAGGTGCGAACTGCCGGTGTGTTTGGCCTTGCCGTTCGAATCGTCACACGGAGGCATGTCGTGCTCTTGCCACTGCTGTTGATGCGTCCTTCGAACTTTGAAGACCGCTCTTGGCGTTCACGAACAGGTTTACTGGGAAAGCGGTCAAAACAACTTCCTCAAGTCGAAGCGACTGAACAGCAGCTCAAAAGTCAACGGCTCTCACTCTCAGCTCAAACAGACAACAACCCGAGCCTGACGCACAAAAGCGTAAGGCTGAACACCGCTTGGTGCCCCCGCTGGCACCCGAATCCCACGTTCAAGACTAAGGTTGCACATCATCTACCGCTATTTAGATGGAAAGAGGAGTGGTGTCCCATCAACGTCGGCCCCTCCTACACCACACCCACACCCCGACTCACTTCCGTATCTTATCCTGCAGAGCGCGAAGAGCCGAAAGCACCGCCTTGCTGCCGGCGCTCGCCCCCCATCCCGGCACCGCCGCCGCCGCCGCCGTTCCCCTCGAAATATCCCCCCCGCTGCCGCCGCCGCCGCTAAACGACGAATAAAGTCTCCCGGTCGCGCCGGTCCAGCCACCGCCGCCGCCGCCGCCGCTCCCACCGGAAGCGGCACCGTTGTACGTGGCGACACGGGTTCTCCCCCCCATCGTGCTGCCCCGGTCGAGTGAGGCAGTAACACCGGCGGCGGCGGCGGCGGTAGAGGCTGCTGCGGCGGTGCCGACACCCTTTAAGGCGGCAGTCCCGGTAGCGGAAGAAGAACCGAAGCCGAGGGAGTTAATGCTCGTCGCGTAGCCGCCGCTGCCGCCGCCGCCGCCGCTTCCTGCTCCTGCTGCCGGAGAGAGCGGTGAAAGGTTGGTTGGGCAGCGAAGTCAAGTTCAGGCCATGGTAAGTTGAGTAGAGACATGGCAAGGTAACCCAAACTATCGTATGGAATCTCCTACGGATTCTCCATACGGATTCTTACTTTTGCTCACATGGATTGACATTTCTCAGCACACACAGACCCCACAGCAGCCACCACTAGCTTCAAAGACGCCTACAGGTGTGGTGCGTACAGCCTTCAAGTTCTGGTGACGATCCGACAATCATGGAGGGAGAACTCTGTGCCGATGTGGTGAGAGGTCTGTCTCTTGGTCGAATCCGTGGCAAATCAAGAGGGTGGGGGTATGCCCGCCCAAAAAAATCCGTCGGGCCAACTTTCGGGAGCCATAAGAGTCAGCCTTAGATCATTGACCACGCGTCCTCGAGAGGACGGAGCATTGTTCCCACAGGACCGATCACCGATGGCCAATCGTTCCGGAGCGGGGGGGGGAATTTGGCCTTGCTTGTTCTCTACCAACTCCCGAGGCAACCGTTATCGGGATTAATCAGGCGCGCGGCAGCAGCAGCAGCAGCACGTGCATCAGCCATCTATACATGGCCGCACGACGTGCAGGAATCCTTGACCAGGTTTAGCTTTTGAAGAACGACGAACAAATGCGCGATAAAAACAAACATCACGGTGCCACGTGTGTACTCTCGGAAACACCAGCAAACCTGATATCACCGAACAAGTCGCCCAAGAAGGATGCAGGAACATCCGTCAGCACCACCGGAGGAGCAACAACAACAACAAGAATGAAAAACAGCTTATCAGACAAGAACTCAACCAACCTCACCCACCGTCGATCCGCCTCATGGTGGCCTTGATATCAGACAGGTCGGCGTCGGCCTCCGTCCTCCACCTGCTACTGCTGTTGTTCACTTGCCCGGTAGACCTTCGGGACTCGTTACCGACACCAGCGCGCGTGCTCGCCCCCCCCCCCAACAACGACGACGAGGACCACGATATTCTGCCGCCGCCGCCGCCGCCGCCCCCTTCCTCTAGCGTAGCCTGCGGTCGCCGTCGTCCATCGCGATCGCTATCTGGTGCAAACCCCGCTCCAGCCGCCGCTGCTCCTCCCCGTGGCCGCCTACTTCTCTCCGCCCACTGCGCGTCAACGGAAGCGGAGGTGGCGGCGGCGGCGGCGGCGGCGGCGGCGGCGGCGGCGGCGGCGGTGGTGGATGCAGCGGCGGTGGCTAGGCTACCGCCCCCCTCTTTGCGGGGGCTGTCTCGGCTCCTTCTCTCTCCTTCTCCTAGCAGCTCGCGAGACGTAGACAGGTGCAAGGGTGAGGACCAAGACGGCGTCGTCTCGACCCGGCCCCCGCGCTCGATCTCGATGCTGCCTGAATCGTCGGTCGTCGTTTTTTGTGCGATGAGTTTTTTCGAATTAAGAACAGTTAGGTAGGTCACTTCTGCCTACCGTACACCCTTGCCCTTGGAATAGATGACAAGAAAAACATTTTTTCCTTCCGTACATACCTGTTCGTCGTAGGTGTACCCGTGTCGGCGACGAACACTGTTGGTTCCTCAGCATCTCCTCGCTATCCCTCCGGTACCGTTGCCGGCCCCTCTCTTGCCGCTGCACTGACGACGACGACGACGATGGCGACGACAAGCCGGCGGTGCCGATGCGAATCCCCGTCGCCCCCGCCCCCGCCGCCGGAACCTTCTTCGAAGAAGGAGAGACTTCGGAGAAAGAGGAGGAGAAGAGATGCGGCCCCGTTGATCGTTCTTTCCGGTCGGTGTTTGTGTCTTTGCCGCCGCCGCCGCCGCCGCCGCCGTCCTCGAGCGGACGAAGGGCCTGAGAGAAGGAGGCGATAAGACGAAACCAAGGCAAACAAAATACATAAATACGCCTCTGAGTAACAACAGCCGCAGTAAAGCTTTGGACCAGACGTTTCAAAATTTCCCATGTGGGCCAAAGCCAGACCGGACAGTCCTCCATGGCACATGAACAGGTATTAGGAGCGAGGGAGGGTGCACCCTCTCCCCCCCCCCCCCCCTCCGGCCCACAGTGCTGAGAGGGTCGCTCGTATGGTTCATCCCCCCTCAGACCTCCCCTGTATTTTCACGGACGGTGCCCTCAAAGACGAGTTTATTGTCGGTGTGGTCATTCCATGCCGTTTTTTTCAGGTTGGGGACGGTGGTGTGCGTGGCGGGGCGGGGTTACGCGATGTATCGAGAGTTGACGCCTATTGTGCAGACGCTTGTACAACCCTGGATGTTTGCATGTAAGCATACAGCAGCAGCAAGTACGTAGACCACAAGCAGCACGTAAGGCATCGCATAGATCACGTGCTTTGCTAGGAGGCGAAAGTACCACTGTGCGCCCTTAAATAAGGTCGTCCGGTCAGTGGTATCATTGGCATGGGATGGGTGTGTTTCTCACGCGAACCCACACTAATATTCATGATCTCGGTCGCTCGTTGTGCATTGCCATCGAAAGAAAGAGTAGAAACGCAGCAGCAGCACTTTGTACGAAGAGCATTGCAACGTTCCTGTGCATGGAAGGTAGAATTGCGTGCGTACACCTCCCTGTAAGCGGTATTGCCGGTGTCAGTGTGTATGTACATACCTCAAGACCGGCTCTAAATGTACAACGAGCAAGCTTCGGAATTAAATTGCATTGTAGATACGTAGTCTGCCTTTCGTCCTTTGTCGACTTACACACAAGGTTCAGTGTAGATTAGCGCAATTACAAGGGACCGAACCCATGAATACAAGAGGGAATCACGCCAGCAACTCGTGCCTACTGCATAGTCACAACGCAATTTGCACATACAACGCGTGTCCAAAACAACATACATACCAGCAACACCGCATACAATAGGTCGTCGGTCTGTTCGCCGAACGGGGGAGGACGCGTCCGTTGCAAAAAATTGGGAGACATTTTGGGTTGCATCATTCGGCTGATCATACGTGGCTAAACAACTGGACGCGTGATCCCATGGCGGGGATACATCCTTGGAAGCACGCCCAAAACGTACTCAATGCGATGGCGTTTCTTCGTCGTGCCTACAGCAGTACAGCAGTACAGCAGTACCACTACTACAACAATAGTGTGAGTGTGAAGTACAAGCTGGCCGTTGGCCGTTTCGAAAGAGCGAAAGAGCAGGCATCATCGGTGGGGGCCGCGGAGGGATGGGAGGGTGCAGAGTAAGGCAGGGAACCGTGTGCAATGAAGCTCACTTACGTCGTTTGTCCTCCCTTCCATTTGTTGTGTCTCCGGCTTCTCTTCCAGCGCGTTGGCAGCCGCCTCCAGCCTGGCTTGCGTGTAGCTGCTGTGCTTGTAGTACTGCCGTGGAGTCGGAAATCCAACTTTTTTTTTTTTGCGAAATGCAGGTTGCGACACACAGCCCTCGGAGGCTTTCTTGTATTCGTTGTTTTGACCCCTTGTTCGAGCATCATAGGTCCATGTGTTCGACGATGATACTATACACGTGATTTGACTTTGATACTGCATGTAAACGTCATGTCAGTCCGTGGTGTCACCGCTCGGACAAGAAGGGCTGTCTGTTTCTTTTGCATTGGGGCCCGTTGATGGATGGCTGGGATGATGAGAGGTCAAAGACAACCAACCAACGACGACACGGACTTTCAGGATGTACGTGTGGTCAGCCGTGCGACCAAGTAGTTGACGGAACGGGGACGCCGCCTTTCAATAAAACAATCAGCCTACACTGTAGACACAACGTGCCGAGCGAGCCAGAACCGGTTGTGTTTAGTACATGCTCACGCACAAAATCGTAGTGCATCACTCAACGGTAAAAATTGTGGAACAACATGTGATGAACTATATTTGCTTTCCCCTGTCTCGATCGGAATCGCATTTATTTTCTCTTGCGATGACTTTTTTTCTGGTCCCAGCCGCTGGACAATAAAACACAGAACGCTGCATGCAACAACCCCTCCACAGGTAGGTAGGTGGCAGCGATGAAACCACACAATAACGCCCACCAAACAAAAACAAAAACCGTTCTTCAATGGACCACACACCCCGCACGGATATTCCGCGCGAGCGTGCTTCCCTTACGACATCCCCCCACCCTCTCACGCTTAAAGTTACCAGCAACAGACAACAAAGCTTAACGGCAAATCCTAGTCTATGCGATAAGTTCTAACGGCCAACCTCAAGATAATTACTGCTGTCAAGCCCCAACGACGATCGCGTCCAACCAACCAATCCACTCTGCATGAGGCAAACCATCAATCAGTTCGGGGTTCGCTCGACGATCAACACGAAACGCCGCTATCAATAACCGTAACGCCCTCCACAAGAGCTCGCATCTCCACGGCTGCTGGCAGTACGACGGATTTGGCCATGTAGCCGTCTGGTTCTCTCTTTTTTATCGTGCGTAAACCTACATGCGTGTGTACGTCGGCTACAACTCCGGGATGAAACCGAAAACCTGCGTAACTGCCGACACACAATGCTTTCGTCCGATAGTCGCCAGAAGCACCTCGCGGTACTTAAAAACCCGACCCGTTTTCTTCAAACGACAGGCACGCAACGCAGACTATTTTGCTTCGATTAACCCCTGCCAACATCGAACCTCGCTAGACACGGTGTGTGCAGGAAGGGGGCAAGAGATCTTGAAAAAGAGTTCAATTCGACCAATTTGCGTCACACATGCACTTGAACGGTGCATGCACCCTGTGCTGTCGACCGGACCCACTCGCCAGCCACCTTCATGATGGACAAGACGATGCAAAACAACACCGAAATATCCTATCCACGGCACGCACCCGTCGCTGGGATGTATGGATGTATGTCCATCCACGCCACGCACAGTGCCAGTCACGAATAACGTATCTAGCCAAGCGCCCAATACTTTCGCGTCATGTCATGAGACACACAGCGGGTGCATGACGGCAGTAGCAAAGCCATCCCCAAAACCCAAACACGCTCAGATACCGGACGGATCATCGCATGCATCAGGATATCTAAATACCAGGGTGGTACAGGTTTTAGCCAAGCAAGCCGACATGGTGTTCATCCGAGCACAATTTGTTAACAGCCCGGAGACCCTCCCCAATCGCACACAACCGTGGGACGCGACAAGACACAAACCGCTCAAATCATCTCGCATCGTCAAATCGTCAAATCGAGAGAGAAACCTTGTCCGAGCGAGCTCGACGCTCGCAACGCTGGGCAGGCAACATCATTCCGCGTCGTGGTGCGAGCTCTAGACGACCAGACCCATCCAGCCAATCGATACCTTACATAGTACATAGTACATAGCGACACACCGCACGAGTCTTGTCTTCCTACCCGCACGGCACCGAAAATCGATGCAAAGGCAACGCAAAAACCGACACCTTGAAGGACAAGGACGTACGCCCATGACCCCTCCAAAAGGAACACAGATAGATCAGGTACACCACCACCACTACCACCATCAAAACAACTGAAAAAAGCAAGAACTGCAGGCTAATCTAGTAAGTTAATCTCCGAGCATGGGGGGCAGGCCCTGGTCGCGCCGGAGGCGGTTGGCAATGTGGAACGCCAGCTCGAGCGATTGCTTCCCGTTCAACCTGCCAAAACCGTTTTGTTGAAAATGGATTGTGAAAGAGACGTGAATACATGAATTGGTCTTTTGATGTACTTCCCGAGTTACAAGGTATCCATTTCATAGTGAAAATATACTCATCCGAGGGCGGGCACACTTCAAGACGGATGCCGTGTATGGACACCGCATAGAAGGCTGACAGGCAACATCGTACGCACACAGCAGCCGGAACAGAACTAAATACGAAGACGAAGACAACAGCATCATCGTGTCACAGCAGATCATCAGGAAGCAACACCGCTTCTCTTGCCTAGGCCATCGGCAACAACGGTGGACAAAAACGCTAACAAACGACGGGTTCTAAATGTAAAGCGCGGAGCACAAAAGCGACACACGCATGCCCCAACAGTGGCAGACGATAGTGAGATTGGGGAGGGGTGTCCAGCTCAAGTCTTTCCTATCTACCTCGTCAGAGGAACAAAATGAAAGCACTAAACACTTGCAGGTATGTTGTTACCTGGGGTCGCACTGTGTAAGGTAGCGCTGCTTGAGGTTTTCCTCCGTCACCTCGTCCACGTCTCCCCCGGTGCACTCGGTCACGTCCTTGCCCGTCATCTCGATGTGGATCTAGAGTAGACCAAATCAATAACAAGAGAACAAGCACCAAGGAGTGCGTGTTGAAAAGACCGGCAGTAGAGAGTAGTCCTACGAGCGCAGTGTTGAGAAGAAAGCTTCCAGCTCGACGTTGTGGGTTCTCAACCACCTCGCTGCTCTCTGCCCCCCCGTACCAGACCCCCCCCCCCCCCCCCCTGTCCACATTCTTTGCCAGAACCCAGACGGCGCGAGGAACTAGGTCATGTTTAATGTTCGCTCCGATTGTCTGGGGTTCGTCTGAGCCATCAAGCGATTGCCAAGCGTTCGGAGCCACCGACCGATCAACGCGAGACGACGAGCGAACATCAACTCTCCGAGTTCCTCACGCCGTCTCGATTTTCGCAAAGAATGTAGAAGCGAGGAGGTGGGGGTACGCGGGCGTGGGTTCTAAGGGGGGGCAGAGTTGGCCGTGCCAGCCGATCCTCAAGCCCAATATGCATAGCGCACTAAAAAGCGCTTCGTTCAGCGTTCTCCCACCCCGGCTGCTTTCTCTTTTCAACAACTCTCTCTCTCTCTCTGCCCCGTCTGTGTCTCACCCCGCCGGCGTGGGTCCCCATGCGCTGGTGCACGTCGAAGAACGTCCTGAGCTCCGATCGGATGTCCTCCATTCTGCGCGTCTTGTACCCGCTGTCGGTCTTGATGGTGTTACCGTGGACGGGGTCGCTCACCCACAGGACCTGCATGCAGTCAGTAGTTGCCGCGCACGCCACCACCACCATCATCATCATCGTCATACACGAGAGAGGATACACCACAATCGTCGACAAGCACTGGGTTCAGCTTGAAACCGAGAGCAAGAAACTACGGTCGAAGGACGACGACAGCGGAACGTCGGGGACACGACAAAATGCTTGAGCCGCTATCTCAAATCGACGATTCTCAGCTCCCGGCGCCAACGAACATGCAGTAAACCCCGCGCCACCACCAGGAACATAAGACACAGACCAGCAAAGCATGTGCTCCTCACGCTGGCATGGTAAGCTGCGCAAAACCCACACGCAGCAGCAGCAGAAGCAGCAGCAGCAGCCATCATCTCCCTCATGCATGCGAGTGACTCATCAATCACCCTTGCGGTGTCTCGCGCAGTAACTCACGTTGAGGCCCGCCTTCTGCACGGCGAGGATGAGCTTGGGCAGGTGCTCCTCGAGGTACTTGGAGGACATGCGCGTGATGAGGGTCACCCTGCCCGCCTTGTTGTCCGGGTTGACCGTCTCTAGGATCTCCACCAGCTCCTCCGGGGGGCACCTATCGAGGTGATCGTTAGCGCCGTAGTCATCGCCGTAGAGCGACGAACGGCGGGAGAGGGAGACGTCAGGATTAAGACAAGGGGAAAAATCCACACAAACTAAGAGAGAACTCCTTCTGAAGAGTGCCGGCCGGGGTGTCAGGTACAAGGCCGGCCAATACACCCCTTTTGCACTATGAGGCCTTGCGAGTGGACCGACCACCACCATAGGTGACGTAAGATGCCACACCCCCTTGACTGATTTTCAAAGCTTCATCTCCCCAAAGCAACAACGAGTGCCGGTGCGTGAAATAGCGGCTTCGAAACCGCCTCGTCGAGAGCTTGCCGAAAACGTATCGTTCGACTCAAAATATCCTCTTCCTCGTTGAGTAGTGGGGCTGTGAACCTCGGTCCGCCTAGTGTGATGTGCTATGTCACCTGCGGTACTACCGTACCACTCACTTTTGCGAGATCTTGATGCCGATGGGGTTGCTCACCCCACGCAGGAACTCGATGTGGGATCCGTCCAGCTGCCGCGTGCGCTCGCCGATCCACAGCATGTGAGCGGAGCAGTCGTAGAACTTACCTGCGTTGGCGACGACAACAACACCACCAGCGCAAGGGAAAACAGCGGCAACAGCAACAGTAGCAGCAGCAACGAACCCAGCGTCACGTACAACCGAGGTCTCCGATTCGATTCGACACAGACAAACAGAGCATTACTCCGGTAACGTATCAGTTGCAGAGCCGGCCCGTGGTTGATGTCTACGCGAGACTGACAATGAACAGCGACAACTCCAAGATCAACGTGTTTCTTCATGCCTTGCCTATCAAGTACCGGTACCCCATAGGCATACACCGACTGCCCTGTTCGTATCTGCGAGCACGAGCTCACTTGACTCACAAGCACGGGTGGGACCGGATTCCCGTGAAACCAAAACAAACCACATCGCCCGGGGACAGAGAAGAAATACAAAGTTGAAACCACAGCAAACAAACAAATCGCACTGGCAAACGTGAAAAAAAAATAATGTTTTCCCACGTTCGTTCATGTACGCACCCGGCGAACAAGCCCAAAACCATCTCATGAACAAAGTCAAGCAGGTCGCAACGAGAGAATCGTCTTGCAGATTTCTGATTTCTCTTCTTCTCCTTACCAGTGAGAGAGTCCTCACGGGTGAGGGCCTGCTCGTACGAGAGTAGCAGGGCCTCGTGAGCGGTGTAGAAGCTAGTCGTGCGGAAGGGGGCCGACGTCGTGTCCACGCCGATGGCCTGCGCAAGACGAGACGATACGGGGAAGGAGAGGAGGGGAAAGAAACGAGAAATGGTTTCCAAGTTAGTTTCGAATCATCAAGAGAGTTGTTGGCAGCTTCGGTTTTCTTCCAACTGTTTTCGGGATCGGAAAGAGGTTTGTAGCCGTCAGATGGGAGATAAAACGTTGTGCACGTACGTCAATGCCCCGAACACGGCACGAAACGAAGTCTGATACCTACGAGCTTTGTGTGTCGATCGGTGTGCATTAATTGTTGGGTGTTTGGAAAAAAAAAAGCAGGATTCCGTTGACGCTGCAAACGAAAAAACAATCCAGTGTACTGCTTGCATCAAGAGAGAGTGCGTAAGCAGCTCGAACACGTCGCTCACGATACATCACAGCAGTGTCTCTACTTGAAAAAAGAAGCAGGTCGAGGCAGCAACAAACTTGAGGGGCAAGCGGCGGCGGTGTTGGCCAGGTCAGTCTTACAGTCATGAAGCGCAGGGTGTCCTCGATCTTGGACGCCATCTCGCGGTACTTGGACCCCTCGGGCGTGTTCTGCACGAAGTCCATGTTCCAGGCGTTGAGCTTGTTGATGTCGGCGAAACCACCGGACGAGAACGCCCGCAGGAGGTTGATCGTCTGTGGTGTGTGACGCCAACAGAGGAGGTGCCCGGTGAGCAGCAGGCGCGACTTCTTGAGAAAACAATAATACGTACATTGTGTGTCAGCACTCAAACACGAGGGAATTCAATGAACAAGAACAACATGCTGTTTGTTGTTGGTTGATGATCGTGCGTTGTCATCATCGTTCATGCGTCTGAACAAGCAAAAACATGTTGTCCCGCTCACTGCCGTGACGACTTCAGCACTTCGACTGTGGTCATATCTCCAGCGGATAATATTTTCTGTGATAAGTACATACCGGAATGCGAGTGCACCGACGTCAACACAAACGCATCAAGATCGCCAAAACACCGAACCACACGTCGAACCTCCGAACAAAAAAAAACAGCTGTTGATAATCGCCGTCGGGGACACAACGCAAAACTCGCCTGGGCCGACTGGTGGTACGCGGACAGCATGCGGTACGGGTCGTTCCGCCTGGCCACCTCCGTGAACTCCAAGCCGTTCACAATGTCCCCGCGGTAGCTGTGGCACAGAGCGAAAGAACCGTTGCGTTGTGAGTTAGAAAGAGAAAGCGAAACATGTTATCAACATCAAAAGCAGACACCGCCACCATGATCTTCCTTGAGGCCAAGTGAGCCGTGGCCTGGGCGGTGATCCCGAAGCGTTCGCTACAGGATGCATACAAGAGCACAAGCGGCGGCATAACAAGAACCAAGCAGACAAATGATTTCTGTCGTCACACTACAGTAGTACGAGACAAAACCATCAAGGCCGCTCCTCCACAAAATACCCCGTACCGGCTCCGACCGCCCGCAAGTATTTACTATCGAACCGGGTTGGAAATTCCGACCGCACCAAGTTTGGATGCCGTGGCTGGATGACTTTATTAGCTGGAACCCTCCAGACAATCCCGCCAGAATCATGTCATCCTTCGACGGTGCGTCCCAAAAGGTTGTTTGAGTTGATCCACGAAAAAAAAGGCGTTGCTGACAAGTCTCGTATTCAAAGTTCAATGTGATGTATAGTATCTCACGGGGCACACATCACACATTCCATCGCCTCTCTTACGATCCCCCAGCCACCGCTCCGGATACTCTTTACACCTGTGGGGCGGACTGCAACATGATAAATTCTTACAAGTATTGGTCCACTTTACTTTAATACCAGGGCGAGAGACAAAAGGCAAGGGTTGTAGGGCATACACGAGGGTCGGTGCAGCGATGAGCTCTCACCTAGGCAGGGTCTGCCCGTTGATGGTCTCGAAGTCCTCTGATCGTGGCTTGGCGAACTGCCCGGCTGCGCGGCCAATCTGGTCCAGTACAAAGAGTCAACGACAGATGCGGGCACATAGCACAAAACGATAAAAATAACACAGCAGCAGTAGTGAGAAGGTAATGTACAAACGTTGTCGATGGATGATTGGCCAGGCCTGTCGTTGGAGTTTGATATGCATGTGCCGACGGTTGCTGGCATCGGGAGAAAAGTGATGTGTTGTTCTTGTGAAGCACTTCAGAACATCACCGCACGTGCCCGAGGTGGAGCGAAAGTGCCATAATGCCATAATTCCGCCCGGGTCCTCTTCACATGAATCGTCCCGCTGAAATGTACTTGGACATCGGACTAAAATACGACAGTAGGCTAGAATGACCCATATTTGTTGGTCCCGGCTCCACACAACTCAGTTCACGAACAAAAGCCGAATATTCGAATATTTTCCTGCGCTGGTCAGGCAAAAAAGGGTGTGCATCCAGACACGGAGCAGAAACCTGCCCGTCTTTCGTCATTTTTCCGCACTCTCTTTCTTCCCCTTCGTCTTTCTCCCGTCCACCCTGTCTTTCAACCCCCCCATCGCCGTTTGCTCCTTAGGTGCTGCCTTACCTTAACGACGGGGACCGATCCTCCGTAAGTCATGACGAGGGACATCTGAAGGATGGATCGGAAGGTGTCTCGTACGTCGTCCACCTGACAGACGACCAGCCACAAAGACAACAGGAAAGCAACATATTTCTCAAGAGCTCTTGCCGTCGCTGCTTCTGCTGTTTGTTACTGTTGTTCTCTTCGCAGTTTCCCGCACTATCCGTGTGCTCTGTCGCCTCAGACATCTGCCGCTTCACATTCTGCTCGGTACGTTGCCGTTGTTCCTCGCACATCTACACCCTTGGATTGATATCTCATGCAAGCCTTTGAAAACATTGTGATGCGCTTTCTGAATATTGCCCGTGAAGAAACGTAAACGCGGGGCATCGTCCAGCAGGAAGACTCTCCTAGCATAGCAGGTAGGTGAACGTGGGGTCACCTGTACAATCAACCGTGCAGGGATATGAATGACCTTGTTAGTCTTGCTTACCTTGAATTCGGAAAAGCTCTCGGCGCAGTCCCCTCCCATGAGGACGAACGCTTCTCCTCTTGTTGCCTTCGACAGGTCGGCCATCAGCTCCCGGCACTGCAAACCGCACACACACACATGCGCGCGCAAACAAAAAAAAATGTACGTAAAACATAAAATATCAGCATTTAGTTGGTCCAGGCACTGCAGCGAATGCGCGTCCCATATCACCACCAATGCTGCTGTCGAAAAATATTGAAATCGCTCCTCCAACCATGCTACACGTATCCATGCAGCACATGCCTCTACAAGCAAATCGTCCCTCGGGTGGCGGTGGCGGCGGCGGCGGCGGCGGCGCAGCTTACCTCTCCGGCGAAGACGAGGGGGGCCTGCTTGGCCAGGATGTCCTCCACCTCCGTCACCAGGGCCGGGTCGTCGTACTTGGGCATCTGTCGGGCCTCCCTGTTTCGCCAGGTGGCCGGCGACCAGCCCGTGGAGCTAACCGGCGACGAAGGCGCCACCTCTGCCTCCGCGGGCTTGGTAGGCGGCTGCGCGACCATCGTTGTCCTGAAGGGGGAGGGGCAGGTGCACCGCAAACGCCATCACAATAATTACTTAGGGGCGAGAGTGCATTTTGGCGACACAAAATAAAGTGGTGCGGTTTAGCGCAGCGCGATCGGTCCGACAACCTCTAACGATGCAGCTCTGCAGCTGCGGATGCTATTGTTTGGAGAAAGGGGTTCGACTTTCGGAATAGCAGGTAGGTCGCATGATGTTATATACCACACCCCAGGTCGACAATTGACGAAGAGTGTATTTGCATGCATGTGTGTAGTTCCCCACTGTAGAAACAGGGAGACCGTTCGGTTCGCAGGTTTCCGAAGACTAGGAACTCGTTGGGTAGGTACTGATGGCCCCATTGTTATCGAGATCCCGGGCTCAGAAAGTCGCGACCCAGGACAGCGAGCGGGTCCGGGGCACCCTTCCACAGAGAAACACACATTGATTTGATTTTTGACCTAATTAAACCGCCCATTCCTTTCATAAAGTGGATGTGCTGTCTGCCTACAGCAGCAGTACTGCCTACACAACAATCAAGACGTACAAGCCTGGGAAACGTATTTTCACGGGAGCGACAAGAAGCGGGCAGTACAACGACGACAGGCCGGTCGCCGCAGAATACACTTATTACCTGGTAGGGTCAACGCACATCTTTACACATACTAGAGGCGAGGCGGATTGTGCGTGCGCCCGTCACCCCTCTTTTTGCTAACGAAAAGACGACAATTCTTCTCTATCCACAGATGAAGGACTCAAGGATACATCGTCAGCAACCTGCGTTTCTAAGAATATCAGAACAGCGAAGAGCGACAATACTCCCGTGTGTAAAAGGCTCAATGAGACAGCTTGGGTGGTCATGCATCCGGACTGCTGTATGTACGTGGCTGGAGGGGAACTTGAAAGTTCAACTACACCATGAGATGGACCAACCAAAACACGCAAAAATAAGCGTGCATGCAACATCAATCATGTTCAGGCGAACAGCTTCTCTTCTGCTGTGAGGGTGTTAGCGGAGAGAGTGGGTGTCGTGTCGAGGTCGCCTTACTCCATGATGCGTGCGCACCACTTGGTAGGTATGACGCCTATCTTCCCTGCTGATCAATCCCCCTCCTACCCAATGGTCACGCTCGTCGTCGTGACGAGGGCGGGTGTGTAGGAAGGGTACATTAGAAAGAGGAGACGAGAAAAAAAATCAACGGTTGCCGCAGGCTGTACTCCGTACCTGGCACCGCTGCTGCCCTGGACGGACGCCTGGCCCCTCCCTGGACTGCCCCTCGCTACGAAACCGCTAGGCCGCAGGGCACCCGCTGTCGCGAGGCCGGCTGCCAAGACGCCCACGGCTGCTGTTCTCATCTTGCTGAACGGGAGGGAGGGTGGGATTGAACCTGCTGTCGCCGACGAAGTGGTTCGTGGTGCAACCGGCGAAGAGAGAGTGGCCGGGAGGGGCACAGCAGGCAGAGCGAAACGGATGCGCAGGAGGATCCAGGCGTATGGTCAAGGGAGGAGAGAAGAGTGGTCGTGCGACGAGAGGGCTGGAGGGATGACACCAAGAAGAAGCGAATGTGTGTCGCGCACACTCCACCATTGGATATCACACGCCGGAAGGGCTGCTGTAGTTGCACTTGTAGTCTTATCAGTCTGCTTGCGTACGAACCAGGCTGCGTTGCTTTTTCGCAAGATTCGTCCTCCAACGCGTACAGGACAGGGCCAAGGGCTAGACCAAGCGTTCTCGTTTCCCCGTCGAGTGTGTGTGTCCGCGCTATGGCTGCAAGGAAAGCAGCGATGGTTCGGGAAAGCACCATAGGTTACACAACCCGCGGTGCCATTCCCTTCGTGCATCCCACTCCCGCAGACAGCCAAGGACCGTCCGGAACAAAACATGCAGGCGTCATAGCCGAGCTCACCTTCTGACAGCCAACAAGACCCTTCAATACTGTGACACGCAACTCACCTCTAGGGAGTCGCGGAGCGGAAGGAGTGTTGGTTGCTGCCGCGTCACGCTCGATTGGGATGTGTCACATCACAGGACAGGAGCAGCACAACAACACAACCAAAGTAGAATGGGGGCGACGCGAAAGGAACCGGAGGAGTTGGGGGTGGCACGCCCATGTACAGAGACTGCACCTTGCCAGCACCAGAACAACACAGCAAGACTGGCTCGGAAGAGACGAGAGACATAGCGCGCGCACCCGTCTCTCTTTCACGGCCTCTTCGTTCCTTCGCGTGCTGGTGTTCGTCTCGAGGCGTAGAGAGACAGACGTCGAGCCCTCCCAGCGTGAATGTCGCTGCCAAATTCTTGAAAATTCTGAACCCTCAATAGCGGCTTTTCGGCAGCAGACCTCACACCACACCAAACACTTCTTCATCTGTTCCTCCGCTCTCTCTCTGCGGGACTTCACTTCAAGAGCGTTGGCGCGCGGAGTGAACTTGAGAGAGAGAGAGAGCGCGCGCGCGGGTGCACCCATGAGTTCCTACGGTGGCGAAGAGAGCCTTCGATCGCCCCGCAAGGGTAGCGGCGCGAAGCGAGGGAGCGAAGATGAAGGCATCATTGGGACCGCGTCCCTGGAGGTCCTGTGCGCAGCCAAGCCCAATACCAACACTGGACCAACGATGTACGACGTTGCCTACACCCGAGGAGGGTGGTGAGTGCCCAGGAGCCAGGAGTGTGTCGTGTAGCGCCGTCGGCAAAGGGTACTCGCATGACTAGCAAACGCTGCCGCTAGGATCGGTGTCCCGATGTGAAGATGCTCATTCATCGCGCCATGTGTGTCGCTGTGGCATTGCTCGGCCTCGGGCAAATCATTTGCCGCCTGAGTCCCACATACCTCCAAGTCGTTTGGGGAGGGGCCGTTGGTCTGTTTTCACCGCATGGACCAGGAGTAAGGGGAGTTGGAGGATATTGTGGCTGTGGGAGGAACCTCAGCTAATACAGTAGCCTTGCCAGGTGCTGCACTTGTATCTTGGCAGTGCACCTTTTGCGTCAGATATTGTTTTTCGCGACAGGATTTCATGCAGCAGTTAGGGTCGTTCGTGACGGAAAGGCGTGCTACACTTTCTTCTCTGGACTCCAGTTTCGTTGACGTAAATGTACATACACGCGCCTAAACACACACTTTGCGTTGTTATGCATACGATGGCCGGTACACCTTCCACGTCGATCTACATGTGGGTATCCAGCACATTGGACTACACAACATGCACATGCTCTAACAGCAGTGCTCTGTACATACAGTATGTTGACTCGCGCTCCCGAACTCCAGGCAAACCCATACGGCGACAGTTTTGGTTTTGACGAACTGCTGTCGTCGTGGTGTCGTGCGGTTTGTTGTCTTGTCTTGACATTTAAAACCGTGAAAACCGTTCACTATTACATCCGTCCTGCTGTTTCAACTGCGCGGACACCTTCCCATGGCCACTCACTACTCCAAAGAGTAAAGAGGGCACACAAAGAACGAGTTGATTAGTTAGACAGCCAGGGTTGGATTTTCACGAAATCGTGGGTGTTGTACATTTATCCCAAAAACGAAAACCCGCCCACACCAACGCCGTTTTAGGAATTAATATTATTCTCACAGAAAGACTACCCGTTCGAGATGAAACCCAGTCGAAAGACCTTTGTACTTGTACAACATTGGCTATTTGGTTTCCCCATGTCTGATCAGCTACTGCTGTTAAATAAGGAACGAGAGTTGCCCAAAATCAGGGTATCTTGGCGCGTTCAGATTGGCGCCTATTTTCACAGCATGTTATGTTTGATAGGGCGAGGGAATTGCTTTGGACTCTCGTTGCGCCGGCGAAGCCCGTAAACCATAAAACCCTTCTTCTTGTTCGCAAAGGCGGGCTGCACGCTTTGCGATGTCGTCAACTTCATATTTTCTCCGACGTCCCTCGGAGTGTACCTAGACTCGAATTGTGTACGTAATTACGCGCGTAGTTTTGAATGAATGGTTGGACAAATAATTTTGAGAACGCCTTGACCTGGAAGGATTTTGAAGAAGACAATCGTTGGTGCTCCTCTCGAGAAGGTAAAGGTGTTCGTTTTAATGTTCGAACTGAGTCGGCGCCGTTGGATGTACCGAACGTCAATATATTGCGCCTCGATGAAGGGAACGAGACACGCCAGAGCAGACCGGTGTCGTCGCCGCCCAAAAAGAAACGACGGAACAGAATTGCCGCGCAGAACAGAAGTAGTAGTGTCGGGCGTCTATCGAAAAAGGATGAAATCACGCCTTGAAAATATTTACACATGTACCAAACGACGTACAGTTTTAAACTACGATGAAGTAGGCAACGAGTGGTGGTTTTTGTTCGGTGCCCAGAAAGCGCCGTACCTTCGAAAGTGTACTCGAAAATTGATAGGACACGGAGACCGCTGATTGCCGGATGCCGAGAAATATGTCCCGCCGCGTTATTCGTTCGCCAAAAAGGAACTAGGAAGGCTCAGAGAAGCGGGTTTGTGACTTTGAAGCTAAGCGCCAGCGCGCCAAACAGAGCGGCTCGTTTTGGAGAGCTGCTTGTAGGGACGTGCGCGACGCCTTCGTGACCAAACGTGTGCAGCTTTTGGCAGCTCCCACGCTATAACTTGGCAGCTCCCGCGATTTAACGGAAGAGCAGACCCGATTTGAGAATGTGGCTGATGGTGCCCTCTACTGATGTAGAATTTGTGATAGGTACGCAGCACGCCTCTGCAAACAGGTTTTGGGTCGTAGTGTGTCGATGCAGGATACGCGTTATAGTTGTTGTTGTATTCGTCCTGTTGATTATGGCGACAGTCCCCCATTTTCCGTGGTGAGACGTGTGCTACACTCTCCAGTGTATTGCACGAGGTAAGTTTGATCGGAAGGAGGGAAGACGCTTTCAGGAAGTTGCGGGAGGCGTGTTTCATTCTTCTGCGCACCCCCGTGAGATTCATACTCTATTTTTTGTGCCGAAAAACACTTCCTCAAAAAATGTTCCTGCGTAGTATCCGACCGCAGTGTCACGAACCATTCACAACTGCTCTCGTCCACGCCCTAACCCCTCTTGCTTGTTTCTTTGTTGTTGGCGGCGTGGTGGTGGGTGATGAGTGAACAGGATTTGGCGCACCTCCCACCGCTACAGCGACTGGCTATCCCTCAAGGAGCGCCTTCAAGCGGACTTCGGCAAAAGGAATCTTCCGGACGACGAGCTGTTTCCGCAGAAGGAGGACGTGGTGAGATCGCGGCGCAACACACAGCAGTCGCAGCCTTGGCGGTGCCCGTGCGGCGCGGCACAAGTATTGGGGAAACAGTTCGCGGGCATTGTGTATGCGCGCGTGCCGTAGTCCAGGGTGCCGCCAAATGATGGTGTCAAGCCGCTGAAGCGTTTTTGTGGCCAGACGCCGTTAGTGTGAAGATCGTCACTCGTCGTTTGTCCAAGTACGACAGCGACCGCCACAATAGCGCCCACCCCTCTTGAATCTCTCGCCCTGTTTTTTGGCTCACCCGACCGCGTTGTTGCAGGGTGCTATCATCGTGAAAGTGCTGTCTTCTTGTCAGGGGTGCCGGGAGGGCGGCGGCCGTGCGGTGGGGCACCTCGAGGAGCGACGCCGCGGCCTGCAGGTGAAAGCGCTGAAGCTTTGAAATGTCCGTCAAGCTCATGAGAGCGTGGTTTGAACGTTGTCGACGAAATCTCCGCTAACTCGTGGGCATGGGTATCTAAAGTAGTCCGGGTGGTCTTGACGCCGTGTCAACCTGATGCCTGTGTGATGAGTTGCCTCGAGTGTTGCCGCGGCTTCGGCAGTGACTGGCCCAAGAGTGTTGTAGGGCGACCAAGTTCTACCACGTGCCGAACTTCTGTTGACAGAGTGACGCGATTCGGGCAACGGGGGTGGTTCTTTTTTGTTGTTAATATCGAAACACCAACGAGCAGTGTCGTTAGACCAGCACATTCTTGCCTCTGGTTTCAACCGTCTCAAGTCTTAGCTTTAGTTTTTCATCTACTGCCAGCAAGCAAAAAGAAATGGCTGGGTGGAAGATTGCCACAGCAGGAGAAGAGGCAATACCCACTCCAATATTCGTGTAGCGGTCGAGAGGGGCACAGTAAGCTGTGTGTGTGTGTGCGCGCATGCTTGTTTTTTTGCTCCTCGGCTAACCCGCCTTCGTGTCCTCGTGGCTGGTACTGCAACAGGCCTACTTCTCACAGGTGCTGGATGAGCAGAGAGAGCTCTGGGACTCGAGCGCCGACATCAAGGCCTTCTTTTCCCCCGGCCCGCCCACGAGCTACAGCGCGGCTCTCTCGCGACGGAGGAGTGAGCAACTCAAGGAGGTGAAGAGGGGGTGTAGTCACCTAATGCTGTTTGTTGCTTTGTCAAGACTTGATTGCTTTTTTGGTGGTCCTCTCGGTGCTTTTTTTGGTGGTCCTCTCGGTGGCGTGTTGACTCGGGTGTCTCATACGCCAACAGTTTCCTTGTTAGTCGCTACGTCCAACAGTTTCCTTGTTGCTTGTCTACTGAAATATCGAATGGCTAGTGCAGGGCTTCACCTGTTGGATCGAAGCCCGAAGACAGGTCGTACTTGCTGCTCCATTGAGCGCTTGCTGCTCCTCTCTTCGTGCTCCATTTAGTTCTTGATCGCGTACAAGCTGCATGGAAATGGTCGCGCGTACAGATGCTGCTTCTGGTCTCATCCCATGCTATTCCGCGTCGCCCCCTTTCGTCGTTAGCACCTCCTTTCACCGGTGCATATTGTCGCCCTCGTACGTTTTCCCGTCCTGCTCTCTTTACAACAAAACTTGTCGTGCAGGAAAAGCTCAAGGCAAAGGAGGCTTCGTCCGCCGCTTCGATGATGGCGTGCTCGCTCAAGTCTACCCTCGGAAGCCTGTTCGAGACGTCCCCGGCCACCACTCCGTCGGCTGCTGCAGCAGCAGCCAAGCCGTCGTTCTCCACGTACCCGTTCTCGACCTCCTCTTCGGCGCGATCGACGTCGGTGTCGTCCTCCATGTTCTCGCCCAGGCGGCCAGAAGACCAGTGGTCTGCATCGGCATCATCGGCGGCAGCGGGGCCGGGGGTTGGGGCCGGGGGGGGTTCCTCGGGCTCGGTGATCAACCGCCTCGCCGCCATGAAGAAGCAGATGCCGTCTCTGCGGGACATTCTGTTCGACGACGCTCCGCCTCCGCCGACTGCCGGTTCGGTCAATGGTTCGGTCAATGGCTCGCGGGCGTCCAGCCGGCACAACAAGATCCCTGCTTCGACCAACAAGCCGCCCTCGGAGTCGGGAGTGACGGTGCGTGTCTTAGCTGTTTACCGGCGTTCCGTGGGACATGTATTCGTTTTTGTGCCTTCTCTTGGCAGATGCAGGGGTCCCCCAATGACGCGCTCTCTCCTATCGGTCAAATGCAAGCTCATGTTACCCGTTTGGGCTTGATATTGTTGAAGCAGCTTGGTGTTTGTTAGAACGAGGGATGTTGTGGCGTCAGTCTCTGGCCTGCTATGCACCCGTTGATATAGCCCCCCATCCGCTGCGCTTCCGCGAACGCGCGCCGTGGCGAGAGCGTAGTCGTCCGCCGAGCGTATTTTCGAGAGCCGAACGCGGGCCCTGGTCGCTGGAAGGTGTAGCCGGCCGCACACGCCGTCACTATTATTAGGCAGCAGCACACCGGCAGAGCGTGGCAGAGTCGTACCGGTGTTCTGCTCGTACTCGGTGTGTGAAGATGTATCTAACCACGGTTTGTTTGACTTTGCAGCGGTCATGCAATGTCGCGTCAGTCGGTGAATTACGGTAGCGATGTCGCTCTTCCGTCCGTGTATCCACACACCAACCCCGACCGCGCAAATATACAGGATCCAGACGGGGGCATCTCGGAGGCGGGCGGCTCCAAGCACTCCATCATCTGTGAGTAGAATGAACTAGCGCGGGCCCCCGGCTGGCGATTGTCTTGCCTTGCTGCGCTGCCCAGCCGACGCCTACCAGAAGTTTTGCGGCTTCTAGTTACGTGAGAATGGGGGGTGGGGGGGGGAGGGTCACACTACGGCGAGCCGCACCGTAGGAATAAGTCGCCCCAATGTTTCTTGGCCAGCTTGGTGGTCACGGGGGAATACTCGTCTGTTGTCTGTTCGTGTCCACACCCTCGTGGCATGATGACCCCGAGACGGCCGGCAAGCGGGCAAGATTTGAGTCCTCTAGTGAGAAATGACGTAGTCGGAAAGTTCTGCTTTGTCCTTCCACGACCATGGTACGGGAGGATGGGTTAGCACACCCCGGGTGGCCATAAGGCTACACGTGTCAGTTGCAGTGACGCGTGTGGCAGGGGGGGGGGGGGGGGGAGACTAGCAGCGGTTGTCCCCTTGTACTTCCTTTTTTATAAGAGGTCAATGTCGGGAACAGCGTGGTGCATCTTTGCATGTAAATATTACGCCGCTGTTCGCGAGAGCGATCGATCACCGCGGTACCTCGCAAGGCTCTTGTAGTTTTGGTTAAGAGAAGTCAACGCACTCATTTGATACGAAGTACTTAGTAGATCGGCGCCACTGATGTGTTGTATGCGATCCGCGGGAGCCCTATTGAGTGCATTTCCCCGGTTCACGGCGGGTAGTCCCTGTTTAGGCGGCTACGTTACCCACTCACTTGTGTTCCGAATGGAGTATGATTCGTTTGCTCATGTCCTGTTTTTTTGTGTTTTGTTTATTATGGCGCTCGCGTCGGGTGATGCTTCCGTGCGCCCAAAAGTGGGGTACTGCTGTCCATATTCGTTCTATGTATATCTTCCACCACGCGCCTCCCTTATTTCCCTCACGGTTTGTTGCTCTTGTGTTCTAACTCCGGGCTGGGAGGCGGTTGTCATGTACCGTGGGAGGAGGAATGCTTAGGGTACGATGTGTCCGTGCGTATCGTTGTTGTCGCATGTGGTGACCTCCTCAGTCGTCATTTGGTGAGGTTGCGCCTGCATTACCTATAGCTTTGTTTTTGGTGCTGTTGGTTTATTTAGTGTGTGTTGTCGTTCAACGAATCTGGCTCGGTGTTGTTGATCAATTTGTGCACGCGCGTTCGTACGAAGAAGAGCACGCTTTATCTCCAAGATGTAAGAATGCATGAGTATTGTAAGGTACATGGGGCCTCTTGTTCGGGAGGCCTTGCTGGCAGTTGGCAGAGAGAGCTGCTCGCATGATGACGGCAGAAGTAATATTATTACCCAATTTCGAGGAGTGTGCGCGGGGTATGCTTATCGAGGTGTTGGCGGCTGTGGGTTTACGATAAATCCACCTTTCTATCGGAATGCCTCCATGCTAAAGACACCCCGCTCCCTTTCGTTCCACGCTCTTGGTGGACGGATCAGTATTCAACGAGTACAATCACTTCCCAGTATCGGGGTATTCTTGACTTATTTGAACTCAAGACGCCCGTTCCAACGAGGGCCGATGCCTCCCGCTGTGTGCACTTTTTTGTGTCCGTGTTTGGGCTGTAGTTGTCTGGCTTGTTGGGGCGGGCGAGAGGGGTTGGTCAGAATTTCAGTCAAATGTTGAACGAACATTTTTGCTACTTTGCAGTACAGTAGTAGTCCATTTTATTGGTCTCCGTTGACCGGCCTCGTCCTGTTCTTGGGAAAACTCACGTCTCAGTATCCCGCCCCTTCTTGGACGGCATTAGACGCCATCTGTATTGCATGTCCTACGCGAAAATCAGTTATCGACGGCCGTTCGTTGAAGAGCGCTTTCTTCGAGGTGATGAAACGGCGCTCGCTGCCCTGTCTCCAAACGTGCTCGAGAATATGGGGAGGCAAACAAATTATAGATGTGGGGCAAATGCTTCGCTCCAATGTTTTGAAAATGGAACTGCTGTGGCTACTGCAAGCTACGCGGTTATTACAGCAGTAGTGAGCGTCCGCACGTACGTCCACTCGCACACTGCAGTACATGAAAACTACACTAGCAGAGAACTTCAACCGGCTGCTGCTGCCGCAGTACTGCTGTAGTAGCGCACAACACTGCAGCCAGCCGTTGGTTTATGACGGCACTAAAAAACCCGACGAGGCGGACTGCTGACGGCCCTGTAACACATAACCTAGTCCTAGACTACACATGTGTCAAGTTCTTGACCAAGCGCAACAACGATGACGATGCTATCACGGGGAGGTAAAACACTGCGGCATCTACAACCGCTCGCTGCAGCGGTAGGTTATGGATAACATGCGAGCTGTCGGTCCTTCGTTTGTGTTTGACTTTCGTATCACAGGAAACACAGCGTCAAAAAGTTAAGCCTGCATTTACCGGAAGCGTCCGCTCTCCGTTTGCGGATAGTACTGCCCCGGTCACCTGCTGTACGCATTGCTCTGTACACCTTCACGCACGACGCTGCCTCAACTCGCCAAAGCGGTTGTTATTAGTTACGTGGTCTTCTTTTTGTAACGCTCGATTTCTCCTTCTTCTTCTCCCGATCAACACAACTGCCGCACACACGCGAGGGTTGCAATTAGCACCTACTGAACTCCGTGGGAATTTAGAGGAAAGGCGGCCTCGTGGTGACACAGGCTACGCCAACCATTGTCTCTTGTCGAGGTTGACCCTCTACAAGCGGTTAGTCGGCTGGGAAGAAGATACATCGACGCTGTAAAATCTTTTTTGCTCTCCTCCGGTTGGTTGTCCGCTGTCTGGTGTTGCCGCAAGTTGCCGGGTTATTTTTTCCAGATAGAAAAAGACGACGAAAAAACAATTTATTGCGAGTGAGCAAGCGGCAAGAGCACGCAGGTAGTAACGACTAGCCGCCTAGGGAGACCTTAAGCAAGGGGACGGACGGTGGAATACCAGCTGCTGCTACTGCAAGCAGCCTTCTTTGTTGCCTCTCGCGCTCTCTAACCGCTAGCCCCCCCGGACAAAACTCTCACCCTCAGCAAACAACATACAACAAAAAAAGTGCGTGTGTGTGCTTTCAGTTGTCGAGGTTATCTGGATCTATGTGTCACACATTTTTTTTCATTTTTCCATCAACGAAAGCCTACCCTTTTAGCGAGCAGTTGCTGCTGCTGCGATGAAAACGCGACGAGGATAAACGCAAGTAAGTGTAGCGATAGATGCGCCGCACACATCTTTGCGCTGCTGCTGCTGCTGCTGCAGTTGCTGTAGACGCATTCCGAACCCCGTATCCAAGACAACGGCGACGAAGGGGATAGAAATGGAGGTGTTCACATTCGCCACCGAAGCAACGAAACTCACGACTCTTGGCCATCAACGTGGGCTCCACAATTTGGTGTTTTTTTGTGAGGGCACACGCACAAGTCCTTCCTATACAGAAAGTCGTGCAAAATTGGCCGACTGTTGAAAAGAGGCTCTATCTCTACCGAATCTGCTGCAACCATCTCTCTGGAGCGGGCGAGTGGTGCCTACGCGATAAAGAAAGTACACTACGACTGCTACTTTGTTGTGTGAGTCCGCCGTATATACGTGCGCAAAAGTGGTGGTTCGTCTTCATCTCTCTAGAGCTCTGCGCGGCGGCTCTATCTCCAATCTGATTGGTCAGAAGTCTAGCCGGCCACTTTTTCCTGGTGCCTTTTGTGGGCGTGCCCTCTCGTCACACACATGCAGCATTCTCCCCTGCTTCTACCAACGCCGTCACACCGTCCCAAAGGTAGGGGTGAAGGGATGAATGCGGATCCTTAAGGGTTGTGCTTACTAGGCGGCTTCGTAGAGAGGGGCAAGTTTTTCGCGGTTGGGCAAAAAAAAAATTAGAAGAAGGCGACCGGTCGCGAAAAATATCCGGTGGTTTTCGGAATGCGAGAACCACACAGAGAGAGAGAGAGACGGGAGTGTTGTGACTTTGAGTTGGGCTTCAAGAGGGTGGAAAAACGGCCATTGTAAGGCGATCACGCCCGTGGACCGCACCGCTGCCATCGGCTAGGAAATCGTGCTGGCATGCCACATTAATTCGGCCAAGCGCTGGGGTGTTGCTCTGCGTTGTACACCGCCGCCGCGGGTTTGTTGAGTTCGACGTTTTTCGGATTTTTTTTGGGGTAGAGGGGAGGGAGAGAGATAGGCGGAGAGGGAGAGACACCGTAAAAGAGACAAGGTAGACGAAGCTCCTCCTCTCCCTCTGGCTGTCTGTGCTTCGTTTTTGGCGATTCGCACCAACTTTCAATATCGGGGCGCCGCGCGCATTGTCGGGACCGCGAGAATTATCTCAGCTAGACCGTAGGTGAATAAACAGTTTGGGCGTGGTTTGCGAGCCCAAAGACGAACTTCTACTCGAGCCCCTTGGAGGGCCACATGCCACATCAAACCACGGACTATTTTTTTTCCTGAGCAGGCGTTCGCACCTTCGTGAGGTGCTTGTAACTGCGAGATTGCGCCGCTTTTTTTATTCATTTTCTAGGAAGAAGAGGGTCGAGGTTCGTTCGTTCGCCGTGTCTCTTCGGGCTTACTTATTACGCTCCAAGGCTCTGGCTGATGGGTTGAAGCTGCACCATCGCACAGCACTCAATACACTCTTCTTGCGTCGGTGTGTATTGCGTAGGAAGCCCTCAATTTTGCTTTTGCGCGGTCGACTCCTGCGACTGACTCACTTCCAATTTTCCTCCAAAAAAAAAGCATCAACGCACACGGCCTCGTCTTTGATGATAGTGGTCGGTATTTTTTTTTGCTTTCACGCTTTAGCTCTCTTTCTCTCTTTCTCTCTCTCTCTTCACCTCCCTTCTGCTGCTGATGGTGATGGCTGAGTTACTATAATACATGCCGATGCTGCTTCTTACTCCTTTGGTGTTGATGTACCGAGGATTGGCTTCATGTTGTATCATTCAATGTGTAGTGCATGCAGCAGCAGCAGGTAGACTATAATAGTAGTAGTGTAGTAGTCATCAAAGGTCCAGTAGGTGCGTCTTGTTTGGAATGTGCACCCAGCGACCACCACCAGTAGCAGCAGTGGTGGCGCAAACACCTACCGACTCCCTTCAACAACCGAATGTAAGGTGCCTTTTTCTACTCTGTTGATTATTTCACTATTTACAGCAGTAGTTCCGCAATAATAGAGTAGCATCAGTGTTGCATGTGCGGAAGGCCAGCGCGGCTCTCTAATCTCGCTAAATACTACCAGCATCACGTAAATATCACGCGCATGGAAAGTGAACATATAGGCTTCACCCATTGTACTCGTGAACTTTCAGTGCGTTAGAAATACTGCTGGTCCGGAGCCTTACTTGCGTTGAACGGGTTAATGCAACTCTACCTTTGCCATACGTAGCCTGGTATCTCTGTAGTCTAAACGTGATGGGTTCACAAATATATTTTTATTTTATGCCTCTCTGCTGCCCAGTCCTTAGTTAGAGTGAGTACTGCTGCTGTAGACCTATAGGAACAACAACAATGGTGTTTCGGGGTTACAGGATGTATTCTACTTCACCCATTGCTGATTTGTGTGACAACCAATGGCTCCGTCGAACCACGTACTACATGTGAACGCCGAGGTATCCTACTGCTGTTGACTGGTGATGATGTAGCCGTCACCGGTGGGGGTACTGACTGCTGTATGTAATGGTCCGGTTTGGTTTTTTCTAGGCGGGCGGCCTTGCTACTGAGCGTGTGGCTGGCTTCGGCCACCGTGGTACTCTCAGTAAGTTAGTTGGATCCGGATATGCAGAAATGGGGAAAGTCAGTTGTACGGTGCCCTGCAAGTGAACGTGTGGCTGATACATATTAAAGTGACCTGTTGGCACTACGATGTTGCAACATTTGTTCCTTCTTTCGTTCTTCGAGTTTGGGGGAGATGGTTTATTTTCGCAAACACCGCACGTCGAGTGATCGACACACACACGTGTCGTCGCTTATTTGTCACTTCTTGATTGCCTACTAAAATCAAATGTGCTTCCCTACAACCAAAAAGTATGGAATTAGTTTCAAGTGTCCATGTCCCCCCCCAAACCAACAATTAAAACTAAAACTAACAACATTCATTTTCAAGGTAGACCACTCTTTTATTGGATTGATGAACACGCACACAACTCTTTTGTTTATCGTTCTAAAGTGTCCAATACAGCTGAAACAACCCGCTATATCGTCCATTTCCCGCTTGTTCCTTTTTCCGGGTCGTCAGTGCATCTCTCGCGTGTTCGACTGGTTGAAAGCTCACGTTTTGTACCACATGAATTAATTCGGAATATAATGTCCGAGAATCTGTACAAGCAAAGGAGCATTTACGCTAGCTATAACATTCCTTTGTGTACGTAGACTGGACCAACCGCCACCCAATGGCGGCAGTTTTTACCAGTCCCAGGGTCTTGACTTTTCTGGCCAAAAGCCCTCATGCGGTGCGCTCGAATGTCAGCCTGAATTTACATTGTATGCACATGCATGTGAATAGCTCACTTGCACACATACACCTATGGGGAATGGTGAAGGTTCTTTGGTGAATTGTTTTTCTTTCACAGGAGTCTTTTGTTGGACAGCTCACTCACACAGAAAAATGAGCATCAGGATAATAATAGCGTTTTGCAAAGGGGTTTTCCATTGTTTCACCACCCCACACACAAGCGAGTAGAGCGATGCTGAGATGGTGTTGTCGGCAGTGTTGAGTTGGTGTTTTTGTTGGAAGCGATATATCGAGTGATGCCATTAAAATGCTTAACGCGCCTCTCTTGTCTTGCGCACGGCAGTGAAACAATTGACGTGCATCAAGAACAACCCAACCATCCGTGATTTGCCAAGTGTGTGTATCGCGACAAGTGCTCTGTTTGCCGGCATTTTGTCGACATTCGTTTCCCCCAGTTACATCCTTGTTTGATGTCGCCGTTATGTGCCGAGAGCGGACGACAGCGGTACCGACTCCTTTCTGTACATACGCAGACGGTACTCCCGGTGGGCGTCCTCGCGGTCGCAAACCCCAACAACCTACGGTTTTCTTCGGCACTCGAACTATTTAATGGTGTTTCTCGATTTCGCTTGGGGCTGAAACACCTCACGGAGCTCTTGGGAAGGGGTGCCATCCCCACTGACCATTTTTAATGAAGCGAGCTCCCTTTTTTTCAAACAAAGCCGGGGCTTCACCTGTCAGCGATGTATGCGTGGGTGCTGTGATTGTCTGTGCTGGCCACACCTTTTGGTAACTTAAACTTCGCAACAGCAACTGCACACGAATACTCTATATCTAGTCCAGGATGCCATGCTGGGAAAGGAGAACGTCCGTCTCTACATCGCTATTTATCTCTTGACAGGTTTTGCTACGAAGCGACCTTTTCCGTGAGTGTTTTACAACGTCACCCCCCCCCCCCCCCCCCCC